ATGCATGAATGTGATTTCCACTCAAAAAGTCACTTTTTTTGTTACTGAATGCCTCTGTTGCACAATAGAACACCAACATTGATTTCCACTTCCAGACCAACTCTGTTCTGCTGGGGAAGTGCACTGCTGAATTTTGCAATGGTGGCGGACAGAGGGCCTGCCGTCCATTGATAATGGCCTGCTGGCCACTGCTGACTGGGTTGTCCTATTGCAATAGAGATTAAATAGAGCAGAGACAGTGTATTCTTAAGGGTTTGTTTGCACAATTTACCCCTCCTTATCATTAACAACTCAAAGGAGTTGTAAGCTTGCTTCACAAACCATCAATGGATGCAATTTCATTGCATGATGGCTTATGAATCAAAGGTGCAAGTTCAATAAATGCAATAAAACAAGACTCTTAAAACCACCTCCATATCATGAAAGATCAAGGGAAGTAGTTGACAATGAATCTTGAACTGTTTTCATCACTAATGAGTATTAAACGACTCAAGGCTCAAGGGTTCAATTAACGTCCGATTGAACCCAAACAAGTTATTATCTTGCACTTTTTTTAGCCTCAATTTTATTACTCATTTTATATTACCATCCATTCATTAATCAATTGAGTCCAAACGTGGATTTAAGTCCTCTAATGGAAAGATGGCTCAAACCAAGAGTTGTTTTGGGCATGAAAGAGACATCATACCGTTGGTAATGAACCCCCAAAGGGATTAAACCATTAAGCATGACATCTCAATCTCATGCTTAAACAAACAAGTAATTTGAAGCCACATTCAAAGCAAAACAAAAAGCCAAGAAAGGAGGGAGGTTGCAGAGGTGATTAAGAGTGATCACAAGTATGAAAAGCCATAAATAAATGCAATCAACTCAAATAAGATGATGTCTAATACCTAAAACACCAAGTTCATGAGAACAATTACACTATAAGCATGCAAAACAAAGCTCAAATGCAACAGACACTTAGAGACGGTCCTAAAATAGTCCTAAAATATGCTGGAATTAAGACAAAAATAGCTAGATTAATAAGCTAAAACATGAATCATGCTAGACTAGTAAGCAAGACACAAGAAGGGGAGGCTAATCCCTCCAATTTTGGACTTCAAAACATGATTTTAACCACTAAAATAACTCTTAAAATCGGTGTTTAAAAGCTCAATAAAAGATAGTGCAAAGGTGGGAAACACAAGGGTAAAGGCCTTGAGAACCAGGTGTAAAGAAGAGTGAGCCACCTCTCAACCTTTATTGGCCTTAAAACCCAAGTTTCAACCAAAAAATATAGAGTTTTTACAGCCTAAAAATAGTTGAAAATAGTAAGAAAAAGAGTAGATACAACAAGTAAAGAAGCAAAGCCTTATACATCTTGAAGAGAAGATCACTTCCAAACAATAAAACAAGGCAAACACACACTCAAGAACTCCAACAAGGCTCAAAGATACCTCAGCTCAAAGATAGAGAGGTTCGGTTAAGAGTGTATAGACAAAGGTGAAGAGTGTATAGGCAAAGGTTAAGAAATTTGCAAAAGAGAGAGAGAATTGTCAAAAATTTTCTAACCCTATGGCAAGAGCAGAGGTCTCCTATATATAGAAAACCAAGCAAATCCCTCAAAAACATCCAGCCATATATGTGGGAGTAGATGCAAGCATATGTACAAATAGCTAGCATAGCTGTCACAAAATATCTGCAAAACACATTGGTGGCCGGTAGGCCACTAATGATAGCCGGCAGTCGGCAGCTAGAAGCAATGACCGGTAGCCTATAGCAGTGGCCGGCAGGTCACCAGAGGTTGCAGGCTTGAAAATCTCTAGGTTTGGTCCAAAAATGAGGCAACAGGTGTGTAAAGTTTGAAAGGCTCAAAACTGTGGCATTCCGCTGAGGACTTTGAGCACTTGACAAGCATATAGACTCATCATTGGATGTGTAAGCGATGACGCCCAAGTCGTAAGGACTGTTAAAAATGGGGCGTCTACATAACCTATTTTATTTTTTAATGAATTATTTTAATCAAACTCTCCTTCCGAACAAGGCCTAAGATAGACTAGGCAAGCCCATGGAATGCCTTCCCACATATTGTTCCCTTTCATTGAATTCTTCACCAGCTTATGTATAAATTAGAGAGATAACCAATAAATAAGAACTTTGACCTGTTTGGGGAAAAAAACAAAAGCAAAGTGGATTCTTTTTTATGACCTTTTTTTTTTTTTTTTTAACATCCATGGAAGCAAATACTCAACTCTATCATCAACCATTTCAATCCTTCCAAAGAGGTTAACTGGTTGATACATTTTTAGCTAGCTAATGCTATAGAATAGAATTTATATAGAGAATGACATATAGTTATATTAGTTTGTTGGAAATTAAAAAATACACTACAATGGTTCTTATTATAAAAGACTAATGATATATAAATAATAAAAAATATATATGTAAAATGATGCAACTGTATTGGATTATCATTTAAAACAAAGTATTTATATAGATGACACTAATTGTAGTAATATTACTATCTTCTTCTTCTTCTTTTTTTTTTTTGTGGTGATAAATTTTATATGAATAGTGTTTTTCATTATAAAACATGATTATCAAATTTTGTTTTTTAGTTAATCAATAGAAGATTAATTTATGAGAAAAATTACATCAATTGGGATAATTATAGTCCAACAACCAAATAAAAGAAATAACTCTAACCCAACAACCATTACAATAAATAGATTTCTCTACAATAAATAGCCCATAATAAGAAGAAATAAACAACACAATAGAGAATTTAGGGTGGCTGCTACAGCCAAATGGGCCAATTTTGAGACCCATTTTGATGATCCAAACCGTTCATATTTTAGAGTATATCAAGAAGAACATACCTGCAAAAAATCAAGTTAATCGAATATTGTTAACCCTTTTATCCATTTACATTTGTATCTACAAAAATAAAGGACAATTGTAATTTAAACTATTAAAATGAATACAAATGTGAGTGGATGAAAGGGTTAACAATATCCGATTAATTTGATTTTTTTACAGGTATGTTCTACTCGATATACTCTAAAATTTGAGCAGTTTGAATCATCAAAACGGATCTCAAAATAAACCTATAGGACTAGATAACAGTAGGTGTTGTACCCCAATACAGTAGTCACCCTAAATCGCACAATATAACCTTTATAATAGAGAAAAAATAATCAATCATTGACCTCCTTGATAGGAGTGTAGGTACTGGTCTATTGAACTAGTCCAGTGGATTACATATTTCTGCATATAAATTTCCTATAGTATTAAATATTGTAGGAATATTGGATAAGTTTATATATATATATATGTTATTTACACTATACTAGGTTAAAATAGAATAAAATTGTGGAGACATATTTTGTGAATGACAATATGTGGCCCAGGTGACGCCGAAGTGTCAATTGATGTGCCACGTGGTTTGGTCTTGATGCCGAGGTGATCTCGGCTAGACTAAGGTTGTCTGCGGAGATATCGGAATTCGAGATAAGCGGATAAGGGACAGGAGTCCTAGAATAGGGGAGGATCTCAATTTGGATAAAGATAAAGCTCTTAGAGAGTTTATCCCTATCCAACTAAGAGTCCAAGGTAAGTATTAAGCCAAAGTCCATTGAAGATAGGCTTCTAAAGGGATTAGGTTAGTGCTGGCTATTAAAGTAGGGCACCCTCGTGGGTCTAAAGTATGTGTGATATACTGTAGCAGTAAGTTCTTTTTTGTGTGTTAAAGCACAATTTACTATTTTTTAGAGATATTTGATTACTGACTTGATCGTCGGAGTGCCCCTAGGTAGACAAACCACCACCGGATTCTTATCTTTCTGTGACAGGTTATTCGGGCTTAATCTATTCTACCGGTGCTCTCCAGCTGAGTTCTCCGTTTGGTTGTGTGGTCAAAAATCAACACCCACAATTTGGCACCGTCTGTGGGAATGTAAGGAGAATAGATGGCCAACGACAAACAAAAAGAGAAGATTGGGGACGATATCCCTAGTGAGAGTGGTAAACATGTTAATCCTAATATGGAGGAGGAAAACCCTAATGAAAGACCACGAGATCAAAATCCTGTAGAGAAAGACGTTGGCCAAGAGCGAGACCCACTGAAGAAATTAGGCCGAGGCGAGTATTACAACGAAAGCGACCTCCAGGTATGGAAAAACAGATGCCTGAGGAGGGACGACGAGATAAGGAGAATAGAAAACAAGTTGGCAGACCTACAATCGGTTATCAACTTCATGATGCAGAACAATGTCATGCAACCACCATTTCCATTAAAAGACACGCCGATTCCAGCGGCCAAGAACGATGCCCCGAAAGGGGGGCAGAAAGTAGCCCCAATAGTCCCTCAGCATTATAGGGCAAAGGAGCATTCATATCGGCATTCACGGGAGATAGGGCGAGGAGAGTCAATGAGAGGAAAGTCTCAAAAAATGCTCGTACCAAAGGAACTTATGTCAAAGAACATTGGCACGTTCAGGGGAAGGAACTTTGTTTTGACATAGTCAATGAAGAGAAGTCCAAAAGGACTCATAATGGCACCGGGAGCAGCGCACCAAAAAGGCTGAAATCCGTTAAAAGTCGAGCTCCTGGTCGGACTAAGGAGAATTTGAGGGACTACCTCCAGAGGAAGCGACAGGATACTGAGGTCACATCACCCATTAAGCCGAGAACGCCATTCTTAGTAGAGTTTCATAGGTTTGTAAAGTTAGTTTCATAGGTTTGAGGCCCCGAAAAGGTTCCATATGCCGAGGTTCCAGATATATGACAGTAAATCAGATTCGAACTTTTACGTCTACTTATACCTGAATTCAATGGCCTTATATATAGGGAACGAACCACTACTGTGCAACGTGTTCCCTTCATCCTTTGGGAAAATCGCTTCGGATTGGTTTCACAAGCTGCTGAAAGGAACTGTGAAGAGTTGGGAAAGCCTGACCAAGATGTTTGTGGCCAGGTTTGTTACAAACAAATTGCAGGCACTAAGGGTAGACTCCTTGATGGCTCTGAAAATTGGCAAGGGTGAAAACCTTAGGGCTTATGCCAAAAGGTATTATGAGGTGTTCAACCGAATGCCAGGATGCAACCAGGAGTTGGCGATCGTGTCTTTTAAGAATGGCTCGGAAGATGATTGCATGCTTCGAAAGTCACTGGCAAAGACTCTGCCAAAGAGTATGGAAGAGCTCATGGCAAGGATCGAGAAATATGCCAGAGCAGAAGAGGATATGTTGGGAATGAAGGCGTCGAAGCAGGAGAAGAGAAATGAATCACTGAAGCGGGGACGAGGTAATACAAGTTATAATAGACAGGAAACAAGGTTGAAAGCTATACAGGCAGTCACCACCATGTTTCGAATCCCGATTTATAAAATTTTGGAAAGGATCAGGAACCAGCTGTATTGTAGAGCGCCAGAAAAGATTCCTGGCAAATTCATGGGAAGAAGTCTTGGGAAGCATTGTGCCTACCACAATGAGGTTGGGTACCTAACTCAGGGGTGTAGAGCCCTGAAGATATATTTGGAAGATCTAGTCAGACAGGGTCACTTGAGGGACCTGGTAGATGAGGCCAGAATGAGGGAAAAGCAGGCAAGACTTCCCCAGGCACTAGCAGCACCACTTCTACCACCACCACAATAGCAAGCAAACAGACCTCGAGTGATCAATGTGATTCACTCAAGGGTCAATAAAAATGAAGTGCGTGGGGAGACTCAGAGCGTAAGGCACTTATAGCATATGTGTCAAATCCAACAAAAGAAACCCAGGACAAACGAGTACTAGAGACCAATGGTAACCTTCACAGAAGCAGACCTAGGCATGGTGCAGCATCCACACAACGATGCTTTGGTAGTGACCCTCAAAATTGGAGAATATCAGGTAAGGCATATTCTGATTGATTAGGGCAGCTCTTATGACATCATGTATATCAGATGTTACAAGGAGCTCGGCCTTCACCAAGATGATTTGGAACAGCCTAACAGCCCAACGGTCAAGTTCAATGGAACGTTGACCTGGCCCTTGAGAGCAATAAATTTGGAGGTGCAGGCAGGCACCAAGAAGGTAAGCATAGAGATCACAGTAATCGACACCCTCTCCCCTTACAATGTTATCTTAGGAAGGCCATGGTTGCATGCAATGAGGGATGTTCCCTTAACACTGCATCAGCTGTTGCGGTTCCCAACGAAGCATGGAATTGAGGAGGTCAGAGAGGATCAGGTGCAGGCAAAGAATTGCTCCATGACAGTAATGAAATCCACCTGTAACGTGTGAGAGGCAGAAACAGTAAAAATTGAGGACGAAAACATGGAGATCCTGGATGACGTCGGCAACGAGCCGGCTAACAAAAGTGAGGAAGCCTTGGAGAAAATTCTGGTCCAACAAAAGAATGAAGAGCACTTCTTCCTTCTTGGCTCAAGCTTGGCTGAGAAGGAGAAGAAGGAGTTAGAGTCACTCTTGCGAGCAAACATAGAGGTGTTTACCTAGACACCATACGAGATGTCTGGCATTGATCCCGAGGTCACTTGTCATAGACTAAATGTAGACAGCTCAGCTAAACCTGTTATTCAGCGAGCAAGGAGATCGGCGTTGGTTCATGTGGAGGCAGTAGAGGAGGAAGTGGACAAATTATTGGAGGCCAGAGCCATTCGGGAGGTAAACTACCCAACTTGGTTGTCAAACACAGTTTGTTGTGAAAAAGAAGAATGTGAAGTGGAGGGTCTGTATGGACTTCACCAGCCTGAATAAGGCTTGTCCCGAAGACAGTTTCCCGCTGTCAAGATGATCAATTAGTAGATATGCCACTTCAGGCATTGAAGGATGAGCTTCCTGAATGCTTTACAGGTAGGGGTGTTCGCCGGATCGGTTTTGTGCGGTTTGCCGGTTCGCGTTTGACCCGCCCGCACGTATGGGGTTGGGAAAAGTCAACCCACAACCGCCCGCAGTGCGCAGTGCGGTTTGTGCCAGATAGGGTTGCAAATGTCGGGGTTGCGGGCGGTTTTGCGGTTTATACTTTTTCTTTAAAAAATTATATTTCGAGTTTTTTTTCTTCCAGCGAATTTAGACTCAGATCATTTTTATATATTGTGATAACAATTTTTTGGATGAGTTTACAAATAAATTAAATATCAATGTATTAATGAAAGCTACCCAAACAAAGAGGCCCTACACTAACATTTTGCCATTGAAAAAAATGTAATCAATCGCATTAAAGTTGTACTCAATTAGAATTGCCAGTTCAGTATCCGATAATCAAACTATAAGTTTCTACTCGACCATTAGAAGGAATTTATTAGAAAACGTGGATGAATCCAACCAATGAAAATTATATAAGAAACTAAGTTTTTAGAACCTTGATAATTCTTATGGCATTAACGACAAGTTGAGAATACTTAAACAATAAGGATCCTAGTGTCATAGAGAATAAATGTGCTCCTGTAAAATTACAAGTTGGTATATAAAAAATAATAATAATAATAATAATTAAAGTGCGGGCGGTTTTTGCGGGTTGCGGGTTTAAACCGCGACCCGCCCGCAACCCGCAAATTTGTCATATTTCAAACCGCATCCGCCCGCATTATGTTTGCGAAACCGCCCATTTATATGCGGGTTGGGCGGATTGGGCGGTTTGAGCGGTTCGGATAAACCGTTGCCCACCCCTACTTACAGGGGATACCACCAGATAACAATCTATCCCCCTGATGAGAAGAAGACTACATTTATCACCCCGAAAGGACTGTATTGCTACAGGGTGATGCCTTTCGGGTTGAAAAATGCATGAGCAACTTACCAGAGGTTGGTGACCAAGATGTTCAGACATCTGATTGGTAAAATAGTGGAAGTATACATTGATGACATGGTCGTGAAGACCAAAGAACCTGAGAATCACCTGGCCGACTTAAAAGTAGTTTTTGATATCCTTAGAACATATCAGCTCTGACTCAATGCTTCGAAATACGCATTTGGAGTTGGGTCTGGTAAGTTCCTGGGATGCTTAGTTACCAGAAGGGACATTGAGGCAAGCCCGGATCAAATTAAGGCCATTCTGGACTTGAAAAGCCCGACATCAGCAAAACAAGTACAGATGTTGACTGGAAGAGTTGCAGCCCTGAATAAATTTATAAGCAGAAGTTCAGATAAGTGTAAATAATTTTTCAATTGTTGAAAAAGGCCACAGATTTCTTGTGGACAGAGGAATGTGAAGTTGCCTTGGCCGACTTGAAAAAGTACCTGGCAATAGTTCTAGTCCTGTCATATCCAGCACCTGGAGAAGAACTATTCTTATACTTGGCTGTTTCAGAGCATGTAGTGAGTGCGGTAATAATCAAAGAAGAGAAGGGAGAACAAAGGGCAGTATACTATGTGAGTAAAACCTTAGCAAATGCAAAGACTAGGTACTTACCCCTGGAAAAATTGACATTAGCCCTGGTAGTGGCTTCGAAGAAACTGAATCACTACTTCTAAGCTCATAAGATTGTGGTACTGACGGAGCATCCTTTGAAGTCCCTATTGCAGTAAAAAGATCTGACAGACAGGGTAGCCAGATGGGCAGTAGTGTTGGGCCAATATGACTTACAGTTTAGGCCCAGAACAGCAATTAAAGGCCAAGTTTTGGCCGACTTTGTGGCCGAGTTCACCCTTGGTGCCATTTCATGTCGGACTCCAGTGGGCCGAGGTTTAGGATGCTCAGGGGAGCAAAAAGAAACCCAATTGGGGCCCAAGAACCCCGCTCAAGCAAAACAGAAGAAAGAAGAAAAACCAAAGCCCTGTGACATCTACATCGATGACTCATTCTGCTTGTTTGTTAATGGAAGTTCAAACCAGTAAGGAGCGGAGGCAGGAGTAGTGTTAGTATGACCAAATGGGCGAATGTTAGAGCAATCTATTTGCTTGGGGTTCAAGGCCTCAAACAATGAAGCAGAATATGAGGCACTGATCACAGGGTTGAGGTTAGCAGTAATAAAGGATACCGACGAGGTGGTAGTCTTCTGTGACTCCCAACTTATTGTGAATCAGACAACGGGTAAGTACGCAGCCCGAGATGAAAAAATGATAGATTATGTCAAAGAAGTTGTTAGACTGCTAGCAATGTTCCAGGATTGCCGGCTACAGCAGGCTAGCCGAGATGATAACAGTCATGCCAATGCCTCGGCTAACCTGGCTAGTACAATGAAATCAGGGGTGACAAGGACAATAATGGTTAATTATTTGTCAGGCCCAAGTATGGAACCACTGATCACAGAATACGAAGCAATGTATGTAGAGATGGGCCCAAGTTAGATTGATACAATAGTGGTGTTCCTTAGAGATTGCAAGCTGCTAGACAACCAAAAAGAAGCCCAAAAGACCAGGTTGAAATCGGCCAAGTTTAGCCCAACAGCAGATGGCCACCTCTACAGGAGATCCTTCACTGGTCCCCTTTTGAGATGTGAGAATCCCTCTCAGGTTGAAGACTTCTTGTATGAAATACATTAGGGGGTATGTAGAAGCCATGCAGGGGCAGATCACTGGCTTATAGGGCCATTACTCAAGGGTACTAGTGGCCCTACATGTAGAAGGATGCTGAAACCTACGTCAGAAAGTGCGAGAAGTGTCAGAGGTTTGCACCTTTGATACATTAACCAGCAGCAGATTTGAACCTAGTATCCAGCCCTTGGCCATTTGTCCAGTGGGGTATGGATCTTGTTGGACAACTGCCCCAAGCGACTGGGCAAATGAAGTTTCTACTGGTAGCAACCGATTACTTCACGAAGTAGGTAGAGACTGAACCCCTTGCAAAGATTCGAGACATTGATGTGAATAACATCATATAGAAGAACATCATCACCAGGTTTGGGATCCTGAGGGCAATAATAGTTGATAATGGTACACAGTTTGACAGTAAGCTAATCAAAAACTTCTGTGCAAAGTACAAAATCAAGAACTACTACTCCACTCCAAGTTTCCCTTAGAGCAATGGTCAGGTAGAGGCATCCAATAAAACTATCTTGGATGGGATCAAGAAGAGGTTGGAAGTAACAAAAGGAAAGTGGGTGGAAGAGTTACCCAATGTACTTTGGGCATATCGGACTACGCCGAGAAGATCAACTGAGGAGTCTTCTTATGCCATGGCTTATGGCACTGAAGTAGTTATCCTACTAGAAGTCAGCATCCCTGGGATCAAAACACAAGGAATAGAGAATGGAACTAATGAAGCATTCCTGGCCCGTGATCTGGACCTACTGGAGGAGAAAAGAGAGAGGGCGGCAATTCAGCTGGGGGTATACCAACAACAACTTGCTAGGGCTTACAACAAGAAGGTCAACCTAATGGAGTTTAAGGTTGGGGACCTCGTCCTAAGAAAGGTCGTCGGCAATAAAAAGGATCCCAATGAGGGAAAACTTGGCCCAAACTGGGAAGGGCCTTATAGAATCATCTCGGTTGCCGGCAATGAGGCATATCGGCTTGAAGACAGTGATGACAAAGAGTTGCCAAGACGCTGGAACATTTGCAACTTGAAGTCTTTTAATCATTAGTCTTTTGTCTTTCAAAAGTTTATGTCATAATTTTATTAGCCGAAGCTATAATAAAATGCTAGTTTGATTTTAATGATTTTGATATTTGTGCAATAGGACTGACTAATCCTATGACGATATTTCCGAATGAAACATGACAAGTAACTTAGACTTATTATATGACAGAGTTGAATTATACTTGCATATAATAGAGTTGAACTAAGTTGGCGATATTTCTGAATAAAACATGACGAATAACTTAGACTTATTTTATGGCAGAGTTGAAATTGTACTTGCATATAATAGAGTTGAACTAAGTTGGCGATGTTTCTGAATGAAACGTGACAAATAACTTAGACTTAGACTTGTTAATTAACCTGGACTTGCCATATCGGCAGAGGCAAACTCAGAATGGAACTAAGTTCATTAACAAAGAAACCAAGGTTTAAACACCTCGGGAAGTCTTTGTTTGAATCTGACTTCGGCGAAAAACCATAGACACATGCTTAATGTGAACCTAAGTGGAACTTAGGTTCACATCAGGGGGCAAGGAGCTGGAGAATGAAATGATAAATAAACTTAAGAGCTTCAGACTTGTTGAAATTTTCAGAAAAATTTACAAGTTGGAGTTAGCCGAAGTAATTATGAATAAAGTATCCGAGATACATATTACTTGAGGTGACCAACCAGGTTGTCCAAACTTGGAAGGATGAAGTCTTAATAGAAAATAGTATATGGAGGTAAAAAAAACAATACTAAATAACACTTGTAAAAATAGTTTGATATTTTTAAAGTGTTAGCCGAGGTATGCCAATGGTTGGCTAAGGAAAACAATCAAGGTTTGTATCCGAGGTATTATATCCCGAAGTTATTATACAGTTAAGGTATACTTTGTAGAAATACAAAAATATTCTAAGTATAAAAGCATGAAAGGCATGAAAGAAAGTAGTAAACATGCATAGAGGAAAAGAAGGCATACATTCAACACTTGGAAGAAAATATAAGACTTGCATTTAGAAAAAGACAACTTGTTCAAGTACATAAACAGGCACATCGGCCAGACAAAACAAACACTGTTCAAAACAAAGAAAAGATTCTAAACAGACTATTCTTCATCGGCAGTTGGCTGTGTTTCGGTCTCAGCAGATAGCTGGGAAAGCTTCTCGGCAGCCTTGTCAGCCTCGATCTCGGCCTCGATCTCTAGAAGAGTCTTGTCAAGGCTCTTCTCGGCGCATGCAACCTCGGCTTCAAGCGTGTTCTTAGGGATCTCGTCCTTGTCGTCTTGAGTCAAATCCAGGACTTGCTCATTCAGAGTTAGGGACTTGGCCCTAACAACTTCAGTCTCCTCAGCCTTGTCGGCCTCAACTTCTTCATCCCCCTCAACCTCATCCTCAGATTGGCTTGGAGTAGGAGAGAATGGCATGACAAGTCGACTCTCGTACCAGAGGGGTGAGTCGTCAGGGACAGCCAACTCTTTCAAAACATTGCATGCCTATTTGACTTGCTTTTTATATTCGTCACGGACGTCGGCTGCCCCTTCAACATAAGCCTTCTCATTCATCTCCTTGATCTCGGCCGCCTTGGTGGCAAGCGTCGCCTGCAGTTCAGTTTGGGCATGGGCCTCCTTTTCTTTGTCTTCTTTTGCCTCGGCTTGAACAACCTCAACAGCATTTTTCGCAGCCTCGGCGCGGTCTTTGGCTTTCTTCAGGGCCGAGTCAGTAGCCTTGGCCTAATCCAGAAGACCTCGGATACAAGCCTCGGCTTTGTTTAGTGAAGTAAGGAGTTTGGCTGCCTCATTTGTTTTTTGGTTCAGTTCTTTCTTGAACTCATCAGTCTTCACTGCAAGGGAATGACCCTGCTGGATAGCCTGCAAGAATGCGAAGAAAATTCATTAAGTATGAAAACCAGATTTGAAATTAAACTAAAAGTTACAAGTGTTGGCACTTACCAAAACACAATACTATATCATCATCGCATAATTTTCATACTTGGAAAGATCGGCCATTCGATTGATGTCGGCTGGGAGTAGAACGGCGGCGGAAATGGCAGCACCGACTTCCAAACTGTCGAGCGCGCTGTCCCCGGCTAGAAGAGGTCGGTCTCTGACCGTAATAGATGGAGTCCAAGGAGCGTTGGTGCAGAAACCAGAGGGATCAGAAGACCTGTCGGACCTCAGCTTTTTAGATTACGGTGGGTTAGACGCCTCGGCCTTGGCATGTCTCTTCCCGGCAGATGCAGACTTCTCAGGTTTAACCAATTTTGAAATTGGCACTATGTCCTCTGATTCCACCTCGGTGACGTTAGGTTTGGCCATGGCCCTTTTGACCTTTTTGGCCTTAGGTTTTAGTTGAGATTGAGAATGACAGAAGGAATAGACTGACACCACGCTGGGAATATCGACAAGCAAGTCATCCGGGATGATTTTTGCGCGGGCCATTTCATCGACAGTGGAAGCAACTGTTACTTTGGTGCTAAAGTGTATTGCTGGAAAGGCGATTGGGGGATTGGATAGATCGTAAGTCGATATCTCACAATCTCGACGTTTGTGGCTGCGAGTTCTGTTGGCATGAGAAAAAATTGGAGCTCGGCCTCAGCGTTGGCGTTGGGATAGAGGAATTAGTTGAGGGATAGAAGTGGATGGCTGCTCAGCTAGGTCAGAAGTAGAGGCCTGATCTGGCCTTGGAGATGAAGCTGTTAGAGAAGTTGAAGCAGATAGAGGAGTCTTGCTGCGCTTAGGAACGTCGGGCAAGGCCGACTTATATATGGGGATATAGTTGAGTAGCAAGGGAGCTTTGCGGAGGTCAATGGGTAGGCTCGACAGCCTCTTTAAGTCTTTGCTGGGGAAGAATGATTGACAGAAGTCCGTTGATAGTTGAGGAAAAGTTGCAAAAGGTAGAAAACAGACATTAGAACAGATAAAGGGAATAAAGTAGTAAAATCTTAAACATAAAAGTTAACACTTAGTTCCTACCCTCATCCTCTTTAAACACCAATCGGCGTAGAGGGAAGAGATGAAGATCATCATGTGAAGCAAATTCCCAGTTACCTGAGACAATCAGGTAATCATCTCCAACACCCTTGTTGGAGTCTGGGAGGTCGGCTATGATTTTGTAGGTTGTGGATCTCGGCTTAAGGTAATAAATGTAGCCTTTTTCAGACTTTAGGCCACACATGGTATAACAATATTAGATGTCGACTAATATTATCTAAGCGTTTTCTCATCGGGCTAGAGCAATTATACCATTAATGACCCTATAGGAATTAATGGCCAGCTGCATAGGGTTGAGTTTGTAGTAGTGGAGGATTTCCCTAAAAAGGATGTCTAAGGGAAGCCGAAGTTCACACTCGATAAATGCTACCACAGGAAACGATATGGAGTCCCCAACTAGCATGATAGAGTCTTCCTCTCCAGCCAACCTGATCTGACTGTCGGTTGGAATGGAAAACTCTTGCCTAAAGTACTCCAACTTAGCAGGGGTTTCAACTCTCCACCTAAACATTCCCATGATGTCAGCTTAGAGGGATTGATGCAAAATTTCAAAAAAGAATATTTGGTATGGGTTTGAAAACCTCGGCTAAACCCTAAACTGGCACCGGAGCTATGATTTTGAAGATCTAAAGGGATCTCGTTTTAGTTTTCCTAAAGAATAGGGTTCTAAATCAAATCTCAAACCTAAGTCTATACGGAAACAAGAATCAAAGGCAAGAATCTGAAGACAGAGCAAGAAAAGCAAGAAAAGAACATGATTCAGAATCAAGAAAGCAACAGAGATTCAAGAACACTGA